TACGTTTCATCATTAAGTTTCCTTAATGATATACTTGCTATTGAATTTTGTTGGATGGTGATTCCTATGTTTACCAATTATGATGATCTTGGTCATTCCTATACTATACTCCTAGTTTATCGGATGATAACTTATTTAGAATACTTTTGTGTTCTAATCTAAGGTGTATTCACTGATAATTAAGTCTCTAAGATATCATTGTCTATAACTTTGATATTGTCCATTTATTGATCTTTGAGTTTGGGCCAGTATAGGCAGACTGGCTTCGGCACTTCGTGTGCATGGTGAAATCTCTAATCATGGGGTAACTACTGTCGACTGGTCACATCACCCGCCTCTTTGTCGATGTTCCTTATTCCGTTGAAAAGGCGTGACCGTGTAAACAACTCTAACTGCCTGTTTACAGTAGTCTATCTAAACCTTACTGACGGGTTTGGTTTCTTTGCTCATGAGGGTTGGGGCCTCTGGCTTCTCTCTCTATGTCCTTGCGGGCAGGGGCGTATCACACTTTTGTAAGCTGGGTGACTCCCAGAGCAGCAAGGGTGGCTGACTCCGTTGGTCATTTCCTTGTCGGCGACGGCCAGAAGATGTATGAGCTGGTAGCACATCCGCGTTAGACAAAGAGGTTGCCCCCTAACTCATTTAAGTTGGTGCATTTCTCACATAGTGTGAGTACCGTGAACTTTTTCTGGAGTTTTTTCCTTGGCAGTATCCTAGACTCGAGTATGCATCGACGAGGACATCGATCTTCCCTAGGGGGGGAGAGTGTCGCAAATGTGACTTCAGGTATCGAAAGTTACCTGTCGACCAGTCCTTACAGACACTCTTACCTTACTGCCACGATGGCAGGAGGTTAGTATTGCTGGACCCTTATCAGTCCCTCTTGTGCTAGTGGAGTTAACTGGGCATTTCGAGTGTACTTAGACCGGACGAGCATAAGGACGGAATTCCTACGTGTTATTAGCTAAGCATACTTAGCCCGGTAAGGAGTTCCCGTCTCGTTATGTCTTGCACTGGCTAGTGACAAGAACCCTCGCGTATTGAGATTAGTCCCTCAATATCGCTACATGATAGCTTACCGTGTCTGCCAAACACCCTCGCTATCATGCCCTTAGCGTTAGTCTCAATTCGGTCCCAAATGCTATTTATGGAAAGTGTCCAAATTTGCTCATTTGGCATATCTACAGAATGTAGAGATTGGCCTGAACACAATGGTGTTTGTCCCGTGTCCAAATTCGCATTCTAGCACCATTCCATATTTAGTAAGTTTCAAGCTTATCCCAGAGACTAACTAAGGGAGGCTTGGGGTGAAAGCCCAAAGCGTGTGTTCCTCAAGGGGGGGGGGGGGGCTGTAGGGGGTTCCAAATGTATAGTAGGGATAGTGGGTAGGTCGGGCATGGCTGACCAACCTGAGGCATAGTCTAGCTCCTGCTTGCGTGCCTGTCCTTGTTCTGCATCCGGCTTGGGTCTAAGCCCAAGTTCCATTCCATGCTAGTTGGTGGAGTACCCATATCCTCACGTTAGGCCACCGGTATGCCGAAATAGCACCAGACTCCGTTTGGCTCCGTTTTGTGTGCTGGTCCTAGCATTGGGATGCTGGTTACTCTAGGACTGTTCCAAGTCGCTCCGGGCTCCTGTCCCTTCGCTCCTTAGGCTTTATGCTCAGGAGTTGCTCCGTGGTTCGGTTCCATCACTCCTCGGCTCCACGCTTGGGAGTTTGGCACCGTTCCTTCGTTCAGTGGCCCAAGGCCCTGAACCTCGGGTTCCTATGGACACGTGGCATGTGACACGTGGCATCTGTCACGTGGCACAAAGAGGGTTTAGGTAGTGTTATCCTAT